TGAAAGACCTGGCTCTGACTTTCCTCTTCTGTATTTTTACACTTACTCTATAATATGGCAAATCCTACTCAAGCAACCACTGAACAACAGCCACTCTTTCTTCAATCACAATTAATTAGTGTTAAGCTCAATGAAACAAACCACCTCCTCTGGAAACAGCAGATCTTGGCTGCCATCAGAGGCTATGGCCTCGAGTCCTATATCACAGGCTCAAATACAGCTCCTCCAGAATACATCACAAACTCAGACACAAATGAGAGATCTATCAACCCAGCATACTTGTTATGGAATAGGCAAGATCAGCTCTTAGCCTCTTGGTTGCTATCCTCAGTTTCTGAAGGTGTTCTTGTCACCACAGTAGGTCTCACAACTGCAAGAGAGATATGGGAGTGCCTAGAAGGGTCATTTGCTAGCCAAAGCCATGCCAAAATTCTTCAATACAGGCTGCAGTTGCAAACCATCAAAAAAGAGAACTGCTCAATGAAAGAGTATTTGAACAAGATAAAAACTTGTTGTGATTTGCTTGGATCTGCTGGTGAAAGGATCACTGAGAGAGACCATATTCTCTACATCCTGGCTGGACTCCCCCAAGACTACAATGCTGTCCTTGTGTCTCTATCCACAAGGTATCCTCCTTGTAACCTCATGGAAGTCTACTCAACTCTTATGAGCTTTGAAACTCGAATAGAAGGAGCTGAAGTTCAAAATGGCTCAACCACTGAAAGTAACAACTTCTCAGTCAACATTGCTACTCAAGGATCAGGAGGTAGAGGTAACACTAGAGGAAGAGGAAGATCTTTTCCTCAAAATCAGAACTCTAGGGGAAGAGGAAGATCAAGTTTTAGAGGAAGAGGCTGTGGTTATGACAACAGCAGGCCAAGATGCCAAATCTGTCATTACAACAACCACACAGCAGAAAAGTGCTACTATAGAGCAGATCTGAGTTTTACACCAAGCAACAGAAACTCCTACAACAACAGCAGTGCTCCTCCAAATGTTAATGTTACCAACCTTGGAAGTGATGCTCAAAGTTCTCAAGATGGAAGCTGGTATCCAGACTCTGGTGCTTCAAACCATGTCACCTATGATCTAAGCAACCTCAACAGTGCATCAGAATATCAAGGGAGAGAAAGAGTGCAAGTTGGTAATGGGGCAGGTTTGAATATCTCTAACTTTGGTAATTCTATATTTCAATCTGCTTCCAAAGACCATTTCATTTTAAATAACCTTCTTCATGTTCCAGAAATCACAAAAAATCTCATCAGTGTTAGCCAATTTGCAAAAGACAACCATGTGTATTTTGAATTTTTTTCCTTCTGTTTGCTTTGTGAAGGATCAATCATCGGGCAGGATTTTACTCAAAGGAACCCTTGAACATGGCCTCTATAAGTTCAGCCTTACCAAGAAACCACAAAATACCTCATCCTATCCAGATCATGAAGAAGTCAAGAATAAAAGTTGCTTTTCTGTTATTTCAGTAGTTGCTCAGAACAATGAGTGTGATGATCTTTCATTATGGCATTATAGACTAGGCCATCCTTCATTTGATGTTGTTAAGAAGGCTCTCAGTAGTTGTAATATCTCTTTTAATCTGAGCAATGACAATCATCTTTGTGTTCCATGTTTGCAAGCAAAGTCACATAAACTGCCTTTTTATACTTCAAATTTTGAATGTGGTTTGTTTGATCTTATTCATACTGATCTCTGGGGGCCTGCTCCCTTGAAATCCTTTAGTGGTTTCAGATATTATGTTAACTTCATTGATCATGCCTCTAGGTTCAGTTGGCTTTACCTTCTTAAAAACAAGTCTGATACCTTTCAAGCCTTCCTTCATTTCAAAAAACTGGTTGAAGTTCAATATAATCACAAGATCAAAAGTGTTCAGAGTGATGGGGGAGGAGAATTCCTTGCCCTATCAAAATTTTTCTTACAAGAAGGAATCCAACATAGGCTGTCTTGTCCCTATACTCCTGAACAAGACGGTTTAGCTGAAAGGAAACACAGACATATAGTTGACGTTGGGCTATCCCTTCTTGCCACTTCAAATGTCCCTAAATCTCACTGGATTCTGCTTTTATTACTGCCACATACCTCATTAATAGAACACCTTCAAAAATTCTCAAGTTTAAATCTCCTTTTGAAGTGCTGCACACTTCTAAACCTGACTACAAAATGCTGAGAGTATTTGGCTGTCAATGTTTCCCTTATATGAAGCCTTACAATTCCCATAAACTTGATTTTAGGAGTACTCCTGCCACTTTTCTTGGTTACAGCCCATCTCACAAGGGATATAAAGTTCTCTTGCCAAATAATAAGATCCTCATTACCAGACATATATCCTTTAATGAGAAATTTTTCCCTTTTCAGAAACACACTGCACCAGCTGTTGTTACAACTTCTTCTCCCTTATCCAATCCTTCTTCTATATCTTCACCTCCAGTGCTATTCCAACCAAATGATTCCCATCCTCCTCCTCCACCAACACCACATGCCTCTATACAATCCTCTCCTATCCTTCAACAACACAGTCATCATCCTTCTACTCCCTCCTCATCTTCTGGTTCCACAAATCCTCTTGCTCATGGAGGCAGATTGTTTATAGATTTACCAATAGAGACTTCTCCTGCCTTGAATACTAACCCTCCTCCTGCAGCTACAGGTACTCATTCCATGGTTACTAGGTCCAAAGTTGGCACTTTCAAGCCAAAGACCTTTGCAGCTCAATCTCATTTGTATTCAGAACCCAAATCTGTGCATGAGGCTCTATCTATCCCTGAATGGAAGAAAGCTATGGAACTTGAGCTACAAGCACTGAGAAAAAATCAAACTTGGACTTTGACATATCTGCCACCAAACAAACAACTCATAGGTTGTAAGTGGGTTTTTAAAACCAAGCTAAATGCTGATGGTTCTCTTGACAAGTACAAGGCTCGGATTGTTGCAAAGGGATACTCTCAAACCCCTGGCTTTGATTATACTGATACTTTTAGTGCTGTGGTCAAGCCTTCTACAATCAGATTAGTGCTCACCTTATCCATCTCTAAGTCTTGGTTCACAAGGCAGCTTGATGTTGCCAATGCTTTTCTTAATGGAGACCTTGACACTGACCTTTACATGATTCAACCCCCTGGGTTTGAAGACCTTACTCAGCCTAACTCAGTGTGCAAGCTCAAGAAGACACTTTATGGCCTTAAACAGGCCTCAAGAGCTTGGTCACTTAAGCTCAAGAAAGTCTTGCTTTCATTGGGATTCTTATCTTCAAAATCAGACACCTGTCTATTTTACAAGCATTCTAAGAATTCTACTCTCATAGTCATGGCTTATGTAGATGATATAATTGTTACAGGCAATTCTTCTACTGCCATTGACCAGTTTGTCACAAATTTGCAGTCCAACTTTCCAGTCAAGGACTTAGGGCCTCTCCATTATTTCCTTGGCATTGAATTCCTTTTTAACTCTGATGGGTTGTTTCCTTCTCAGAGGAAATACATCCAGGATCTTTTAGCCAAGCTTAATATGACTTCTGCAAAGGGCACTGCTATCCCTATGAATGCACACCCTCCTCTCTCCAAATCAGTTGGTTC